GTAGGGTAGGCGTTCAGGTGCTACTGCTGGTTATGTTGGTCCTCGGTTACGGATGCTTACCACCTTGTTAATTGTAGAGTTCCAATCATTTTCTCAATTATGATCTCCTTTTTAATCATTTCTAGCAACTAGTTTTAGATAGTTGAATTCTTTTTGAACATCCATCTAGAATAGATTTTTAATGTTCATTCTTCCTTAAGCGCGAAGAGAGCCTCTAAATTTGAGACGTCTTCATAATTGTTCATATCGTTGGTGAAGTGGGTTAAGTTTGGGGCCATCCACATGCCCACTTGCTCCTGCATCTGGTGGAGGAGCTGTATGTTCGTTATGTTGGCTACCATGTTAGCCATTTCTTTGGTGAGGCGGGTAGCAACTCTTCCACCTCTTCGTTGACGCAGCTAGTGATTTAGAGTTTCTCTGACAGTCCAGGTCTTCATAATTTTCTTGGTTTCCACTAAATTTTTAGATTAAAGTGTTCCTTTTCTCCAAATATTGTCTCATTTTCCTCAAAGATTAAAACACCGCCAGATTTTGCTTTTTTTCTCTCTCAATAATCAAAGACTCAAGGTTGAAAATTGTGCCTCTTTCCTTTCCGAAGAACAAAGATCCAAAGTTGAAAATCATTTTTGTGTTGATTTCTTCGAAGCTTCATTTTGTTCTTTCTTTAAGAAGAGAACTTTTTTCTTAGGGAAATAAGGTGAGTTTTGCGGTAACTTTTACTCATGAGATATGTTCGTGGTTAAAGTGTAATTTCTCACAGTTGGCTCCATTCTGTTGACCTCCAAATCCTCCTGCATATAAATTCCTACTCAACTCCCATTTCTGTATATTACCTTCAAACTTGGCCAACGTGTTAGACTAAACATGAATGTAGCTTCGGTGGGTACAATGATCACAGACACTCTAACACTGATGTTAGGGCGTGAAGAATGTATTTGGAGTGTGGGAGAGATACAATGGACAAAAAATACGGGTGTCAAATTTAAGATCTCCCAGTTCACATTACAAGAATACCATTACTTTTAGAAGACAATAAGTGTGAGCTTTTATATCAACATAGAAGAGGTGATGTCCTTTAGATACTTTACATGTGACATCATCATAACAACCGAGTGGTCAAGCTCAGCTATTCCCAGTTGTGAGCCTTTGCCCATTTGGCCAAAGGATGAAAAGCAACCACCCTAGGCCTATGGCTTTCATAAGTCCACAAATCAAAAAGTTGACTAAGCATATCTGTTCTAAAGCTGTCAAATCTATCAGATATACAAGTATCTCGGACTTATTGAATATCTTGGCCAAGTTAAAAGGTTAAATCCTAACCTTAAGGGTCCCCCACCACCCCTCTCTGGAGTATCGTGAGGGAGGTAAATCACAAGTTATGCCTCCAAGGGTATAGGGTGGAAGGCTGCTTGTACACTTGCACTTACTCAAGAGCCAAATCCATATTTCAGGATTCGACCCCTTGACGCAGCAGCTTCAAGCAAAGCTGGATTTCTCCACCCTCCCCTTTTACCACTTGGAGATGTGCCCTGGGGGCGAATATCTTGGCCAAGTTGATGCCTGTGGAAGACGCTTATCATAAAAGATCTCAATCTCCTCGAAAATACACTGCAATGGGACCAACATGCTTTTTGGAAAAAAAAAAATATTTGTTGAATGTTCTGTTTTATTACTTTTAATTCATTGTGCTAACACGTGTATTAAATATACAAGAAAACACATTGTCAAAATGCAATTTTAAACTTGAGGGATTGTTCTTTTACTATAGATTTAGTCCATGTTTGGTATAAAAACCTTATAACTCATTTTTAACTATCAATAAAATAATTTTGCACGTAAATTCATATTTTTTCCATACTATTTAATCACTCATTCTCTAAAATACATCTATTAGAAATAAATTTACATCAAAACATGCCCTTAATTATTGAAGATATAGATGAACTCTTTTTGGTACACAAAATTAGATATAAATGAAAAAATTATTAAATAAGATTTCAAGATTTTTTATTTCCATAATTATGTTTAGCGCTATCTAATTTTCCATAACAAACATGCCCATACACTCTTAGAGTCTTAGACTACGGCGCATAATTTCTTTCCTTTCCGTTCTTGGAAAATAATTAAAATGCAAGATGGTCTGGCTTCCAATATATCTAAATCTTAGGCAAATCCATTATAATTATTAAAAAGAGATTTGTGCAATGAATGGTCAAACCCTTCGATTTTTCTAAAGAATTTTAGCAACAATGCAAAAGATTTCAGACAAAATAATTGGATTTAACTGTTTTGAGCTTCTCTATGGCCTTTTAACCGTACAAATTCTATTATTATAATCTCATTTAAACCATAATTAATGGGATATTGTCATGATTGCTTATCTCTAATACACATGCATTTGTTCGAGAGAAATGCAAGTCAGCCCTTGCGCCAGGGTTCCTCTCGTTACGGAATAGTTTTACTCCATAGTTTATGTTGAATTTATGCTAAATAGAAAAATCAAGTTCTTCACCAATATGTTGCATAATTGGTCTCTAACCCCAAATATTTACAAGGAGTAAGTTGGTCCTCAAATTGTTATTACAATGTAGTCGACCGGGCAATCTCTTTAAATTTTGAATAAATTGTCACGTGATTTTCAAGAAAACATGTCTCACTTCAAATTTGAGACATCATATTATTGGACATGTGAGAATTATGTGAGAATTTAACAAAAATATGAACCATAAAACTATACAAATCTTCGATAAATAGTTGTGTAAGTCTCATAGAAACATTTTTTACTTCAATTTTGAGATACCATCACAACTTAGGAGTTAGGAAGCAAAATCTAACTTGACAATACTAGATGTGTGGATCATATGAGGATTTAACCAAACAATGGACAATTTGTATCATGTATGAGAGATTATACAATTAAAACAAAAAGAGAAGTATCAATACGTAAAGTATTTCTAAGAGACTCTAAGCACAAAATTCTCTGTATTTTAGAAAGTCAATGCTTAAAAATAAGCTCTAAAAGACTCTATTTTAAGTTTTTAAAAGAGAGTGAATTTGACTCTTTAAATTTCGAGATTCTAACTCACTTTTTATTCTTACAATGATTGCATTCAAGAAGTTTCAAATTTCGAATACTCTATAATTTAAATTATTCAAATTACATTTGAATTGATTAACTATTAACATATAAAAAAATTATGTTAAATAATAGATGAAGAGAAATCAATAAATGCTCATTTGAAAAAATAAATTAAGGAGTCAAAAAAGAGAACATGTTGGAGTTAACAAAAAAATAAATAAATAAATAAAAACACATCCTAAATTTAAAGATGCTCTTTATAAATAGATTCTCTTGGAGTGAAACAAATAATGCAATTTTGCCAAAATAATTCCAACAGTTATATCTATCAACAACAAAACTTCTAAATAACTCGTACATTGCTCTAGCGCAATGTCCTGCTCTTTGCAATTAAAAGAAATAACTTCATATATATATGACCATCTCTCGACAAATAAAATTCGAAAACAATATGATCATCTTTCTCAAAAACAAATTCACTATCATACGATTAATTTGTCGTTACCAGTGATTATCGTCCAAGTCGAATCGAGGAACGATTCGTGGTACCCCCAAATTTTAACTTGATACTATACAGTTGGTTTCCGACTAGATTTTTAAACCTAGGGATATTGCATCTGTTATACCATGAAAGTCTGCATGTCATGATAAACGCAGACAGCAAACAAAATAATTTTATGTCCAAATTAATTAATGTTAGCCATTCTTTGTACCATCTCAACCATAAATACCAAAGTCCATAACGCACTGAATTATTGTTTTTCTTAGGCATTGCTTTCGGCACGACATCACATACAAAAGTTTATAGCCTATTTGGGAGTGATTTTGAGAATTGATTTTTTGACCGTTAGAAAAAAAGTGGGGTCCACCTGTGAGAGAAGAAGTCAAATATGACGGCTGTAATAGTAAAATAACGATTAAAAAATCAATTTTTTGGATGAAAAAATCTAGCCCAAACAGCCCCTTAATGTTCAAATACAGTGTTGTACCGAATCCATAAAGGGAAAAAAGTTCAAGATTTCATAAACTTATAATTTCAAACTGGGTTTGCAATGAATATCCACTAGCATTAGCCAATGAAATCTTGAACTTCTTTACATGAACTACTTTATGAGATTTTTCTATCATGATGCAACGTTTCGAGTAAGTGATTGTTTGACATTTGGATCTTGCATTCGATTGCCTTTTTCTTTGTGTTTGATGGTCACTCTGGCAAAATCTTTGCATGGTTTCTTGTTGTTATCAAAAAATTATACGAATAATTTATTCTTGCAAGATGTACTTTAGATCGAAAAAGTTGATCAATTTCAACAAGTTTTGATTATGACCGATAGATGTGGAATAACATATTTAAATAAATCATATCACCAATGCATTATAAGTGAAAATTGAGTATATTGGTCCAAGGTTAAAATAGCATAGCAAAAATAGGTGCATCTTATAAACTAAACAATATCTACGGATGTATTATTATTATTAAAAAAAACTCACAAATTTCATTCTTTTCTACAAAAACTCCATTAATCCCCTATTTGATTTCCATTCTTTTCAAACTTTTATTTTACGAGATCATTTTCAATCAAATTCACATGATAAAATATTCTACATGTAAATCTAAAATTTTCCTATACTTTTTAACCACATATTCTCTTAAAACACTTTTCCTTAAAAAAAAAATGGTGACCAAGCATTGGCTAAATGTGAAAACAAAAGGTTATTTATCGAAAAAGAAAAATGAAATTTCACAATCAGTCAAAAAGAGACACTACATACTTTAAAATGCCAAACTTTATATATGAGAGAAACTAGACAAAATTTCACTCGGTCTCCTCACTTTAATGGAGAACATATAAATAAAGATCCCTGATACAGTTTACATAATAAAAATAAAAAAATAAAAAAATAAAAAAAAATAAAAAATCCAAAATTAAACGCTAACAAAATTGGATATAGAACTCAATTTTTTATCATTTCGTCAAGAAAGTAGTTATCAACTTCTAGTCCTGGATGGGCAAGATCTTCAAACGAGTCGTTGAATTCTTCAAAATTTTCCATTTCCGAACTGTGATCCAAAGCTGGAAAGTCATCAAATGACATCCCAAATTCACCAGAATCATTGGCAAATGCTGGTGGATATCCATCAAATAATGTCTGTTCTTGAGATTGGAAATTGAAGAAATCTTCTAAGAATGGAATATCCATTGGCAAATAGTCATTTAAATAATTTGGCACCCCATTAGAGTCCCCTTTGCACTCTTCAATTTCCTGAACCGAGTCATTACCCGCCCCAGTTTCGGAGACCGGTCCATCAACCGATGAACAAGGTTCGGTCAGTATGCACAGTTCCTGAACCGGTTCGGACCGGCCTTCACTTGACTGTTGACTATTTCTGAACTGGAGAACAGATGTCGGAGAACAAAGATTGCGTGACTCATAAACGGACTCGTAACCGGAAACTGATGTCACATTAATTTCCAGCTTCTCCTCTGCCGGAGGATGGCTGAAATTAGTCAAAGCATCCGGTCCACGGAGTTTAATGGCGGCGTTGTCATATACCATTGCAGCTTCCTCCGCCGTATCATAGGTGCCCAACCAAAGCCTAACTTTTTGAGACGGATCTCTAATTTCCGCCGCCCATTTGCCCCATGGCCGCTGCCGAACACCCCGGAACTTCCTGACGCCACCAGTAGCCTTCGCGATTACCTTCATCGGCTTCTGCTTGAGTTGAAGACTCTTCTTGCAATTAGTACTGCTACTAATTATGGCGTTGGCTTGGCTTTTACTAGCCGTTTCTATTTCGATTTCATTGACGTGCTTCTTGACTCGTCGCCTCCGGAAAAGCTCGTCCTCTTCATCACTGGAAGAATCTGTTGCATAAGGATCAGTCACCGATATTCTAACGATTCTAGGACCATTAAAATTCTGTTCTTCATTGATTTTTTTGGGCTGCTGTTTTAAGGGTTTAACAAGTTTCTTGGTGACTTGTCGATTCTCGGAGTATTTAATAGGCCATAAATCCATGGCTGTCGAGATATTTACGCATCTGAACAAGAATAGCAAACTTAAAAGATGGGATTCTAGTGAGAGAAAATGGGATTCAAAAGATGCCTGAAAAGATGAAATGGCAGTGCGTTACTTAAAGGGATTTGCTGGTTTAAAAAAGGTAAGTGAATCAATAGCAGAAAAAGGAAAAGGAAAGAAAATAAGTGGGATTTGCAACCAGAGAGAATGGCACTGGCAGTCTGGCAGTGTATTCAATTTGCAGTGGAGACTGACGTCTAACACTGAAAATGCTGTTTTAAATGAACTCCAAATTTGGTAAAACACGCGCTCAATTTATTATTTTAATTAAATTTAAAAACACCCCGTTTGGCTCATTCTTATCAAATTTTAAAGGTTGAAATAGTATTTTTTTGAAAAATATGTGGTTAAAAAAATAAATTTTTTTATTTACATGTAATATTATTTGATGAAAGATTGTATGGCTGAAAATAAGAGGAAAAAAAAAAATGAAAATGTGGGCCAAACGGGGCTCTTTTTCACTATTAACATTCAAATATAAATCTTGAACTTGTTTGAACCTCATTATTTTCTCATTAGAATGAAAAATATGATCGTTATCCATTATATTAAGTTACCATATTTGACTTTTTATCTCTTATGTGAGGCTCATAATGGCTATATTTTTTATTCTCATTTTTACAATAATGTGACTCAGACGGGATAGATTCGAAGATATTTCTGTCGTCAATTGTGGGCATCGGAAAGTTGGACTCTAAAAGATTTCGGCATCCGCTACAGACGACACTGCTTGCTGCATACGTGAGATAAAGACACATAGCTTATGTGGGCCCTACTTCTGAGTTTGGTCCCGTTGGGAAATACACCGATTATGTGCATATTATATTCACAAAAAGTTTACCTCTTATTTGCGTGAAATCAAAACGTAATTTCGACTTACCGAAATAGAATTTGAGAAGTAAAACAATAATAGTTACCGAATCCAAATGCATGAATATAGATTCATCTCTTTCGATTCTTGAACGAAAGCAAGTTATTCTTTGAATCAAATCTCGCAGAACAAACATGTAAATAATGATTTCTGAAATCAAATCATAATTAAGAGAAATCAGAAAATGAAGGAAGAAATATGCAAGTGATAAATTTTTTATCGAGGCAAGTGTTTGACACTTGGTCCTTAAGATGAATTTGTCCCACATTGGTGCTAATTGTTTTCCAGCAATCATTTCCGAAGATACAACGACCACGTCGAGTCATAGGAGTACTCCAAATGACTTCGACCAGCGAACTCGAACGGAATTCCTTTTCTTTCATAAACATGACTTTGATGAAAGATATAATCATTTCTACAACGTATTTTAAGTAACTTGACATGAAATGAATATTACGGAATGAATGGAAATTCCTAAATGATTAAATTCAAACATATGGGGTCAATATATAGATGTTGAAAATGTTTATCTCAAAGGACACAACCTATGGATGGGACATAACTATTGGAATTAATCTTTATATTTAAAGAGACACGTCTCTTCGAAAATGATAATGCCAAAAGTCATAATCTTTCATAGGGTTGGGCAAATCTCCCGAACCGAACCCGACGATTCTTGTCAAATTAAATACCCGAATGGGTATCTAAATTAAAAATCGACGGGTACGGTTCGATTTTCGGTTCTAGATCAAGAACCGAAAAATCGAAGAACCGAATAAAAATCGAATCTTTTTCATTATTTTATATTGAATAAATCAAACTATTTCAATTTTAATTTTTTTCTAAACAAATTAACAAATTCTAAATTCAAATTTTTTGCCCAATAATTTGTTTCATTTCTATTTTTTTAAAATTTTTTGCCCAATTACCCATGTTATTATTTCATTTCTTAGCCCAACAAGTCCAACCCACTAAATAACAACTAAAGTGCATAACGCTGTCTCGACTCTCGTACTCACTTTCACAGGCTCCTTGACATTCCAAAACCTATACAATCGCCGGTCGACGCCGTGACCTTCGATCGAAGCCGTAACCTCCGTCGACCGAAACTTTGACCATAGCGATCATTTGACCAAGGTAATCTATTAGTGTCTGACATCCCAAAACTATTGAATATGTCATTAGTTGTATTTATATAATGTTGTTATAAATGTTAAAAAATTTAATTATAGTACGGAACGGAATGCAATCGAACGGAATCGAACCCGAACGGTTCCATAATTATATTTGGACCCGACGGTTCCATTTACTAGATACCCGAAAATTTTGGTTCGGTTCAGTTCTCTCACGCCCACCTCTAATCTTTCATATAGAAAGACACATTTTTCAGCCAAATAATTTCTAAAATATTTCATAATATTCTATGCACTTTTTCAATAATTCACTTATTTAAGTAATTTAAATTTGACTTAATTTTCCATTCACCAAATAATATAAAATTTTCAGCAAAATTCCAATAATTCCCCACATAAATGAAAATTAATGCAAATATCTATGCAGACACTAGTATAGAGAGCGAAAAAATTTTGCATTAAGGATGGTAGCTTCTGGCCTTGAACCTTCCTTAATGAAATATCATCGGACTTACTTGGCTAATTAGTGAACGTGATGTCTTGAACCACTCAGCCTTTAGTGTAAGCTAAGAGAACGATACTCACACAATGTCTTCCCTAAACTGTTCATAGTTCTCATGACTTGATTCATTTGGGCTTGAACCCTTCTTGGTTGTACGAGTGTTTAGCGAATTTAAAGCCTTCAATAATTCTAATTGAAGCGGCCCCACTTCACACTCACATAGGTGACCTCCTATTAAGAGTATTCTGCCATATTCCACTTGACTTAATCAAGATATAAGAATCATTAAAAGATTATCTTAACCTCTTGCACATCTGGAAAAAGCACTTTAATATCATAGGAATGCGTTAGGAAATTATTTTCCTTAGTGCTTCATGAAATTCTCATAACTTAGTTGTCCCTTTGAACCAAGATCTTGGGATCTCCAGTCAACAAAGTAGGGTTACCATTACAAGGATTCTAACGTAGTAGGCTTCAATTTCATTCTTTTCGATATGCAGTATACTTAATCTCTCGGTAAATCTCTTAAAAGTACCACGAGTTTACACTACTGAGATCATCTTCTTAATGGTATTATGTCTATGACTTATACGTCTAGACCTACAATTACATGTGATTTAGTATCTTTTCAAATATTGCTAGCCAATGATCGATTCATTTAATAGATATAAATTGTCGCCACCAAGAAATCCTCTCATGAAGCTATATGTCTCGTTAGTTTTATCTAAAACTTTATTAATTTCCAAACACGAATGAAGGATTTCTATCAAATACTACACTAGTTAATCACTTTTACTAGTGGATTTTAGAATCATGGGTATTCAATATCATCATTGAAACATTACCATGCATTTGAACTTTATGAATATTCTTTATATATTCCAATTGTTTTTGCATGTCTAAACAAACGCCATAATCGGCTTTATAACACATTTCATTTACTTTAGATTTAGTATATATCATCTTTATAATTAGTATAAGGGTTTTCTATCTTTCCACTTTCTTAGATATCATTCTGTGATTATAAGATAGAAACAAATGCAACTGTTAAACTGAGTTACCACCACAATTTCTTAATTAGGAATACATATGTAATCTAGTAATATTGCATCCACAAGTTTTGAACTTTCCATTTCAAGTTCACAAGCATTAAGTTTAACCCCCCATATTCTTAGGTTATACTTGAACTTAGAGTTCATCAACTCTTTCATAGTTCAATTCATAATATCCATATCGAGTGCTTTGTGAAAGTCTATGTACTTTCAAAGTAGTGATCGTCAACTTGCATATAACGTACTACAATCTAATTAATTTTGATCATCCAAATTAAATCAAGGCCATCATATGTACCAACAATACTTTCAAAACATATACCAACTTCATTGGTTTCATAATTGAAGTCAAATTCAACAATAAAGAGGGCTAAGCATTGCAACTTCTTCAAACATATGCAACTTATCACATTTGTGACATTTCACATGATAATTTTATTTTAACCATCAATTGAAAAGTTGTGTTCTCAAAAGACACAATTCTATAAAAGGATACACCTTTTGGATTAATCTTTATGAAGAGACACACCTATTGGAAAACAATTTTATCAAAAGTCATGATTTTTCATATGAAAGGACGCACATATTCATCTAAATTGATCGTAAAATATTTCATAATATTCTACACAATTTTCTACAATTTCAAATAATTAAGTGGCTTAATTCTCATTACTAAATAATAATATCCACTTAAATCATCTCACTTAATTTTATCAAATTAATTGAGGCTATCATCATAGTTAAAGTTAGTATAATTTCAATAAGATATGAAATTTTAACCAACTAATTTTCCGTGCCATTATCATATTCCAATCAAAGGAATCATCATGAAAGTTCATATACTTTCATTAAATAATTGGCATCCTTATATGTCCAATGGTTTGGAATAATTTCCTTATTTCCATTCATTCATTATTGGACTTGAGTTGGTTTTAACAATATCCAATTTATCTTGACCAAAGTGAAGGAATAACAACTTATATTACAAACATCTATACATCCATTGTATAAATTTATTCCATTTATAGGAATGTTCACTTCCATATCATAAGAGATATTGCAATCTCACATAAAAGAAAATAGTCACTCACAAGTTCCCAAGATGGACATTGTACAGAAACATCATATTTTTCAAGGCTAGCAGAAAAATTTCACAAACTATAACGTTTAAAGTATGGCAGAATGTCAAGCGTAAATCCATTAGTTCAAATTATAGCAACATATCTATTTAATTATAGTTACACATGTCATATGTCTTTCCAGATATTTTCGTGAAATATATTACCAAATGCATGCAAAAATTTGCACATGCTTAAGGAAAAATACATATATAAAGATGAAGGGAACTCTATAATTACAGTTATCTTCAAACGTCTTCATTCGTATTTTCACATAATATTGGGTTCCCATGCACGCAACCACTCGGATTTTATTTTCGTTTTATGATGCAAATATAACAGAATTTCAAATTACAGTTTTTGAACAGAACCGAATTTGTTCCCTTAAGTGAGTAGTACGATTGACAGATTCAAAACAGAATATACAATGTACAATGAACACAAAAGTCATCTTAAAATTGTTG